TTATGTGACTGCATAGTACATCTCTATGCGGTCGCATAGAGTAAAAATTTTTGAGAGTTTATTCTCGGGTGGCCTCTATGCGGCCGCATAGGGGGTGGTCGCATAGTGCTACCAACTATGCAAAAAGTCCTTTGGTCCTTGAACTTTCATTCTTTTTCATTTTAGTCCCTTTGCAATTCCTTCTTCTTCCAATCATCTTGTATCGCGTTCGAGTTCATACTTAGCATGTTTGCATTCCCGGGTTGCTTTTTAGTTCAAATTTGAATATTGCATCCTTAGTCCCTGAACAATCACTTTGCTCCATTTTAGTCCCTTTTCGGCTCTTTTCTCCTGAATTCCACAATTTTCATAGAAACACCTACATTACATTAATTCAATGAGATTAAGTCACAATTTAAATATTTTGCTCGTAATTAAGTCATGTTTGTGATCTAAATAAGTGTGCAAAAACACACTTATCAAACTCCCCAAACTTGAACTATTGTTTGTCCTCAAACAAGATAGTGACTTAATTTTGAATAAACATGGCTTAATACCCTGCCGTGACTCAGGATTGGACTAAGTATTTAACTTTATGAAAATTTATCAGTGCAAAAATGACATCAACCTTTACATGTTAAATGCATGCTTGACTTGTGTGTGTGAATTCATGCCAACATATCAAATTCATGATGGGTTAAGTCACAACCCCAAGTGGTCAAATGTATCCTTACTCGCTCGAGAGATGCACAACCCCCCAAACTTATTATTTTCAATCAATTATCCCTGGGTTGTGTTTTAAGATTAGGAATATACAGAGCTGTAGTCCTCACCCTCTCGTAGTTTGGATTGATCTCACTATCACAAGTTTACATTTCAACAAGTGAAGGCTCTCCCAAATTTGATTGCTTCAACACTCAAGATTAAAATAGGTTACTTGCCTTGACTCAAAGGTATAGTTTTCTCAACCAAATGTCTAAGGTCTTTTCTTCATGTTTTTGTCACTCTTTTGTTTTTTTTCTCACTTTCAAATAAATTTTTTTTTATATATCATCTTCTCATTTGCTTTCTATATAACCCATGTAACGAACTTTGGGCCGATGACTCCCAAACGAATTGGCCTTAGGGCACCAGGTTTTGAAATATCCTTGCAGGCTTATTTGCTCGAGTTATAAAGACTTGATCAGATGACTTTTTATTTACCTCTTTCTCTCTTGCTTTCTATATGACCCCTTTAGCGAGTTTTAGGCCGGTGACTCCCAGACCAACTGGCCTTAGGACACAAGATTTTGAAATATCCTTGCAAGCTTACTTGCTCGAGTTATAAAGGCATGAAAAGAAGTGTCTTATTCTCACAAATTAATTTTACGCCCTTATTGTTATAGACATTTAGTTTCCAAAACCAACCCCTCATTTAAAATTTTCGCCTAGTCTTCACCTCATTGATTTAGGCAATCCACATAATAAAATTTCATGTACGGAGCCCCCGCTTATCTCAATGCTCCCTATAATAGCTCAACCAATTCCAAACTATCTTTAGGTGATTTACGTGTTAATTTAATAGAGGGTTATCATTCTTTTCCTACTTTATGCTCAAAATTCAGTCATTCACGTAACATGTCAAGCATGAATAGCGTGCATAGAAAATGTCAAGTATTGCATCACAAGTATTGGTTAATCTATTCGGCACTATATTCAATAGTAACGATGGACTGTAAAAATGCAAAATAATTACATGCCGACTATTTGTTTTAAATTATGCAACCATCCCCCAAACTTATACAGTACATTGTCCTCAATGTAAGAATTAAAGTTGAAATGACATAATTTAAAAAAGAAAAACAAGAACACAAAATAGCAAAATGGGGTAAATAAGACTCCCCTGATCAATATGGTGGCTGTGATGGAAGGCTGGGTCCTGCAGCATCATCTCCAGGAGGAAGGCGGGATAAAATCTCTCTCAATATATCAGATTGCTGGGTCTGCTCCACCTGCATGTCCTGAACCCTGGTCTCCAAGTTTCCTAAACAGTCTCATGTCTCATTCACTCACCACTGTATGCCATCCATCCTGCTAACGTACATTCTCAATCGCCCATCAAAGGTACTCATCTCTCTTCGCGCTGCAAGGGACTCAATACTGGCATTGGATGCGAAGTTTCTTGTGATTGCCATATCATTCTGCACCTACTGGATGGTGGTACTCATTGCTCCAAAAGATTACTGAAGAGTCTGCATGTCACGGCTGTGTCCTGTAATAGTGGCAAACATCTGCCTCAATAACTGGGTATCAATGTCAATCGGTGGTAGAGGAACTTGTGGCACTTCGAAGTCCTCAGCTGCTTGTCCTTCCTCTGCATGTTGCTGTCAGCGTCGCTCGTTTTCTAACTTCTATTGATGTTTAACTCTAGCTCGGTCCTGGGCCTCTAGTGTGAGGTGCTTGATATAGGGACTAGGTTTTTCTGGTACCTCCCCAGGCTGGACTTGTATGCCTGCAGCTCCACATATCCCACCTATCAAACTTGGGAAAATCAGCGAGGTGTGCCTGTCTTCCCATATGCCTATAATGTGTATCTGGTTGTAGATGTAAGTGGTTAAGTCAATCTTGTTTCCCCGAACTAAATGATAGATAAACCCTGCCTTTTGGTTTGTGAATTTCGTCCTATGGGAAATATGCTCGATGTTGTGGCATATGAATAACCATAGGATAGCTATAGATGGGGTGAGATCAATCTGATATCAGTCTGCAGTCGGCAGAGGCCAAGCATTTTCACGTCCCAATAATACTTCTACAACCTCAATCCAATTGAAAATATGTGGGATTGGGACCACATTATTCCATGTTAACTGATAATAGTCATGAATCACTTCTGGTGAAAAAATAATCCATTTACCCCGAACCCATGTTTGATGTAGATTATCTGATCCAGGCGTGTCACTTTCTGTAATGAAGTTGGCATAGAACTCCTTCACCAGATTTTCATATACTGGATGCGGTCTTCAATTACTTTCTCCCAACCACAGTTGTGGATTAAATAAACTAATTCAAAATCGGGGAAATCTTCCAACTTAACTGGCCTTTCGGGGATGAGTGCCCACTCACGGACAATATTGGCGTAACGGGCTGCTGTGTCTGAAGATAGAAATCGCCCGATACCTCCTTCGGGCTCCTTAGTCTGGGTTGTGCCAGATGCGGAACAAACTTTCTCTTTTCCTTTTGATGTTCTTTTTGGAGGCATCCTGCAAAGGTTTAAAAATAACATTTATTAAACTTCTTGTTGAAAAACGAGATAGGGAAGCAAGGCATGTATTTCACAAATCCCTCAAACTTACTTCAATATGCATATATAACTCATTGGTGTGTAATCTTAAAAACATGATATTCAAGATAGTGTAAATAGTGTCCCATTATGAAAAACTAAGAAAATTAGGTCTAAACATGCACATTTGAAAAAATTGGACCCATGACCGAGTGCACATGTTCGACCCCGGACATCATCGAAAAATATCGAAATTTTCTCTGAAAATCTTTTGGCATATGAAAGTATTCAATGAAGTCTACCATATACTCAAATTTCAAATCAATTGGACTTTGTTTAGTATGTCAAATGATGGTGTAAAGTAGGGGGCGTAGGGTGCCGTAACCTAGCCATGTGCCTACGTGTTACAAAATGGATTGGATGTTTTACATGGCCTTTCATGTGTATGTGCATGTGGTAATATGCAAACTTCTAGAAAACATGCTCAAGAATGTATAAGAAATGCAAAATAACAGCATAGACATAAGCTGAGCTCAAGACATCCAAATTGTGTCAAGTGACCCATGATCAAGTGAGCACTTTCACTCCCCGGACATCATCGAGAAAAATTGAATTTTTCCTGAGCAAACTCTGGGCATATGAAAGTACGTTATGTGGAGTGGCACATAGTCAAATTTCATACCCATTGGATGTCGTACAGGTACCTAACTCAAGGGACGAAGTGGGTACTATGAAGTGACGTGAACCTAACATGGGTGCCTACATGTGCGAGGTTGGTGAGTGGGTGCTTCCAGCTCAATTTCTATGGCATTCGATCACAATGTGTATGTTAATTTATATATTCAGATTGTCAAATGCGAGATTCCACTTAATGCACAACAAACTTCATTTAGGCAATTTATCGAACATGTTGTGTGCAATATATTCAACTCCATTCTATTAATACTTGGCAAAGTGTAATCACCCACAATGCATAAACACAAATCAATGCCATAAACCAAGCCTACTTACACCCTTTCAACTGAATTCCCAATTGTAAATTGAGAGTAACTACAAACCAAAGTATAAATGAGGAGAAGGAATAAAGCTCATACCTTTTTCGCCTTGGGTTTTTGCGATGAATGTGTGAATGATTGAAGAAATGAAGGAGGGTCTAGGAATGTTTTTGGGTGTGTGCGTGTAAGATGGGAATTTTTGGACCTAGTGTTTGAGGGAGAAATGTGAGAAAGAAATGGGGAGAAATGATTTAGAGTGAGCCGGTCATAGCTTAAGTCCATGACCGGATCACTACTATGCGGCCGCATTGTTGTGACCTACGCGGTCGCATGGTGATATAATTTGCCCCCTTTTATGTTTCGATTGGTGTCTACGCGATCGCATAGACGCTTTTTTTTTAATTTCAAAATAAAACAAAATATAATGAAATACAAAAAAAATATTTTCCTTCTTTGAATTTTTTAGTACACGTTTCCCCTTTAAATTTTTGAAAACGTCATTTCGTCTTGAAATGCATGAAGTATACTCCCAATCACCCAAAACCATTTCAAACTTACCGAACATGTGTTCAATGCCTAGGAATTTATGTGGACGATACTTAGATTCTATTGACATGCATGGATGAACGATGACCTAAAAAAATGCAAATGCGAAAATTAAACAATTCCTAAAATAATGTGAAAAGTAAAATAAATCGAAGGATATAGTAGGTTGCCTCTCACCCAGCGCTAGGTTATAATCGATAGCTCGACTTTACTGTATTGTGTCATTCTGGTGGCCTAAGATGAACGGTAGACTTTTTCTTTGAGAAATCGTCACTCCAATAGTGTTTCAAACGCTGTCCATTGACCTTAAATGTCCCCTTACTGTCATAAGTGATCCCAACTGCTCCATGTGAAAATACCTGTGTAATAGTATAGGGACCAGAACATCTCGATCGCAGCTTTCCTGGAAACAGCTTAAACCTAGAGTTGAAGAGTAACACTTTTTGGCCCACTTTAAATTCACGCCTCTGAATATGCATATCATGCTACTTCTTGGGGTGTTCTTTGTTGAGTCTTGAATTTTCATAGGCCTCCATTCTGAGCTCATCCAGCTCATTAAGTTGTAATAGAAGTTTTTCATCTGCAGCCTTCAAGTCCAAATTCAATTTATTCATTGCCCAATAAGCATGGTGTTCTATCTCAAGATGTAAGTGGCATGCCTTCTCGAAAACCAATCAATATGGTGACATCCCTATAAGAGTCTTGAATGCAGTCCTATAGGCCCACAAGGCGTCGTCCAACTTCTTAGACCAATCTTCTCGTGAAAAGCTTATTGTGACTTCAAGTATTCACTTTAATTGCCTATTGGCCGCTTCAACATGTCCGCTGGTTTGAGGATGATATGAAGTGGCGACACGATATTTAACACCATATTTAGTCAACAACTGTTCAAATTGACGATTGCAAAAATGTTTGCCGCCTTCACTGATTATAGCTCTCGGTGTGCCAAAGTGGGTGAAAATATTTTTCTTTAAAAAATCAATCACCACCTTCCCATCGTTGGTAGGCACTGGAACGGCTTCTACCCACTTCGATACGTAATCCACATCCACCAATATGTACTGATTAGAGAATGATAGGGAAAATGGCCCCATGAAGTCGATCCCCCAGACGTCGAATAGTTCCACCTCCAAAATACTGTTCAAAGGTATTTCGTTTCTCCTGGATATATTACCGGTGCGTTGACATTGGTCCCACCTTTTCACGAATTCAAAGGCATTTTTAAACAACGTAGGCCAGTAAAAACCTGACTGAAGGATCTTCGCCGCTGTTTTTGAAGCACCAAAATGTCCTGCGTATGTAGATGAATGACAATGTTCTAGTATTAAGGGCACTTCTTCCTCAGGTACGCAACGACGAACGATTTGATCAGCTCCTCGCCTGTATAGAATGGGATCCTCCCATAAATAATATTTCAACTCAGTGAAAAATTTCTTCTTCTGGTGACTTGAGTAATCTGACAGAATGATAGACCTGGCTAAGTAGTTAACTATGTCAGCATACCAAGGTGCCGCCCCCACACCGAAAATCTGTTCATCTGGGAAGACTTCATTGATTTCCATGGTCTCTGTCTACTCTGTGGTCTTGAGTCAAGACAAATGGTCTGCTACCACGTTTTCACTGCCCTTCTTATCCCTGATTTCCAGATCAAACTCTTAAAGCAGCAGTATCCAACGAATGAGACGTGGCTCGACATCCTTCTTTTCCATTAAGTACTTGATGGCTGCGTGATCTGTGTAAACGATGACCTTTGCCCACAAGATATGATCAAAATTTGTCAAAGGTGTAGAGTACGACAAGGAGCTCTTTCTCTGTAGTGGCATAGTTTAATTGAGCGTCGTTCAAGGTCTTACTTGCATAGTAGATTACGTGAAATATCTAATTTCTTCGTTGTCCCAATACGGCCCCAACAGTAAAATCACTGGCGTTGCACATTAATTCAAATGGCAGGTTCCAATCCGGCGTGATGATCACGGTTGCCGAAATCAACTTCTCTTTCAAGGTGTTAAAAGCCATTAAACACTCATCTGTGAACTCAAATGTGGATTCCTTCATCAACAAACAACACATTGATTTAGTAATTTTTGAGAAATCCTTTATCAACCTTCTGTAGAACCCGGCATGCCAGAGGAAGCTACAACCACCTTTCACTGATGTTGGTGGCGGTAATTTCTCGATCTCTTGAATCTTTGCTCTGTCTACCTCAATACCCTTTGCTGATATTCTGTGTCCTAACACAATGCCCTCTTGTACCATAAATTGACATTTCTCCCAATTCAATACCAAGTTGGTCTCTGTACACTGCTGTAACATAAGACTCAGATGCTCCAAACACTCATCAAACGAAGGCCCAAATACTGAGAAATTGTCCATAAATATCTCGATGAATTTCTCAATCATATCCAAAAAGATAGCCATCATGTAGCGCTAAAAGGAGGCAGGGGCATTGCATAAACCAAAGGGCATCCTACTGTATGCAAAGGTACCGTAGGGGCATGTGAATGTTGTCTTCTCCCGATCGTCAGGTACTACTGGAATTTGATTATACCCAGAGTACCCGTTCAGAAAACAGTAATGCGAGTGCCCTGCTAGTCTCTCCAACATCTGATCAATGAACGATAGTGGAAAATGATCCTTTTGAGTAGCAACGTTTAGTTTGCGGTAATCAATGTAAACTCTCCATCCAGTCACTGTTCTTGTAGGAATCAACTCATTTTTCTCGTTTTGCACCACTGTGAAGCCTCATTTCTTTGGAACAACCTGCACTGGATTGATCCATGCACTATCTGATATTGGGTAGATGATGCCTGTATCGAGCAACTTTAATACCTCAGCCCAAACCACTTCCTTCATGTTTGGATTCAATCTCCGCTGACCATCAATGCTTGGCTTGAAATTTTCCTCCATGAGTATTTTGTGCATGTATAGTAACGGGCTGATCTCCTTGATATCTACAATTGACAATCTAATGGCTGTTTTATTCTCCCTTAGCACCCAAAGTAGTCTCTCTTCCTCCACTTCACTGGCAGTATTTGAAATAATAATCGGGAGTGTAGAAGACTCCCTCAAGTAAGCATATCGAAGGTGTGGTAGCAATTGTTTGAGTTCCAACTTGGGAGATTGCTGAATAGATGGCACTGACTTTGTAGTCCTAGTTCCCAATTCTTCAAAATGACGCTTGCGCATGTATGGTGGATTAGTTTTCAAAAAATGTACATATGTTTCAATCTTACTTGAATCGGTGTGAGTGGACTGAGAATGTGCAATGCATGCCTCGTATGCATCGGAAGGATGATGTAGCCAAAATGTATCTTAAATTATTCTGTCAATTACCTCGATCTGGAAGCAACTGTCTGAGTCAGTGGGAAATTTCATTGCCTTGAACACATTGAAAGAGATCTGTTCTTCGCCAAGCCTCAATATAAGCTGTCCTTTCTGAACATTGACAATTGCTCTTCCAGTAGCTAAGAAAGATCGCCCCAATATGAGTGAAACATCATTATCTTCCTCCATGTCTGAAATGAGAAAATTGGCAGAAATATATAAATTTTTCTACTTTTACGAACATGTCTTCAATGATCCCTATTGGATGTATAAAGGATCGATCTGCTAACTGTAGGGTTACTGTTGTGGCTTTAGCTTCTCCCAAGCTGAGTTTTCTGAAAATAGAGAGAGGCATCAAATTAATACTTACACCTAAATCACACAAAGCTTTATCAAAATGACAATTTTCAATAGTGAAAGGTACAGTAAAACTCCATGGATCCTTTAGTTTTGAAGACAGCTTTTTCTGGATTCTGGCACTACATTCGCCCAATAGCATCACTATTTCATTTTCTTCTATCTTTCGCTTGTTAGAGAGGATATCCTTTAAGAATTTTGCATAACTCGACATCTGAACAAGTGCCTCAGCAAATGGGATGTTAATGTGTAGTTTCTTGAAGATTTCAAGAAATTTACTATATTACTGATCCAAATTGTGCTTTTTTAACTTCTGCAGGAATGGAATAGGTGGCTCATGAGGGTTGATAGAATTGGTAGCTATAACCCGTGATGTATTGGAACTCTTCTTGGCAACATCCTCTATTGTTTGTTCAATCTGTTCCACAATCTCGTCATCTGAGGTTGGCGCTGATTCCTTGCTAGCCATCGGTCTTTTTACATATATCTCCAGTAGTTGTACTCCACTTCTAGTTGTTATAGCCTTTGCGTGCTCCTTAGGATTGATTTCAGTGTTGCTGGGTAGGTTTCCTAGTGCTCTACCTGTCATAGAGATTGCCATCTGTCCAATTTGTGTATCCAAATTTTTGATTGGAGCACTTTGATCTTGGAGAATTGCATCTATCTTTTGCATAAACTGGTTGTTGGCCTCCATGTACTAATTAGTCATTGCCATGAACTTTTCAAACATCTCTTCCAATGGTAGCTTTTTATCCTGCTGCTGAAATTGAAATTGTGGTCTGTTTTGATTCTGGTTACTCCATGAGAAATTTGGGTGTTTTCTCCAGCCCTGATTGAAGGTTTTCGAATGTGGATTGTTCTGTTGGCGTTGACCCCATTGTACAAAATCTGCATATTCGATCCCCTGTGTGAGAATTGGACAGTTGACAGTATTGTGGTCTACTCCACAGTCTTCACAGCTTGGCTTTTTGACTTGTTTTGCATTGGCGGTCTGTGAAATGCTCTCAAGCTTATGGAACAAGGAGTCTATCTTTGCGGATAATGCTGAGTAAGTATCTACTTCATAAACCCCCGGCGTTCACTTCTGAATCACTCGATCTGTAGACCACATAGCTGAAGTTGTAGCCATTCTCTCAAACAGTTCCCATGCTCTGTCAATTGTTCTCGTGGAGATTGACCCGTCGGATGATGAATCCACTATGTTCTTGAAGGATAGAAGTAATCCAGTGTAGAAAAAGCAGATTTGTGTCTTTTTGTCAAAGCCACGCTGAGGACACTTCCTTAACATATTTTTGAAGCGATTCTAGGCCTCTACAAATGATTCGGACTCGCCTTGGTTGAATATAGATATGTTATGCCGCATTTTTGCTACCTTAACTGGTGAGAAGAACTTGGTGCAGAATTTGTGGGCTAGCTCGTTCCAAGTGGTGATGCATGCGACGGGAAGTGAATCCAGCCATTCAAGTGCTTTATCCCGCAAACTGTGTGGAAACAATCGCAGTCTTATAGTATCGTCTGAGATACCCTAGTATTTAAAGCATTGGCACATGTCCAGAAATCAGGATATGTGTGTATGTGGATTCTCATTGGCCATCCAGTGGTATTAATGTCCATTCTGAAATAGTTGAATTACATTTGTTTTCAACTGGAAGTTCGGTTGTCCAAATGGAGGATACACAATGCTAGATTGACTCTGGACCACCAACGATGCCATGAAGTCCCCAAGTACCATATTCCCTTCATCTTCAACCCCCGTGCCTTCGTTGAGTTGAATTATCGGACGATTTTGCTTGTTAGCCATCTGTTGTTGCTGTTTTTGGTCTTTTTGAATTTTTGTGCTGCTCTTGCTTCTTTTTGCCTATGATGAAATGTGCGTTCGATCTCTAGAACCAAATTCTGATCAAGTGCTCTTTGCATTCAAGCCCTGAGATAG